AGCCACTGGAAATATTCTCCCAATTATACCCCAACTTCGATTTCTACTGGCAGCTAGAAATGGATGGTCGGCATACTGGTCATGCTTATCACTTCCTGGACAAAGTGGTGTCATTTGCGAGAAAGCAGCCGCGCAAGTACCTATGGGAGCGCAATGCCTATTTTTATACCCCCGGTGCACACGGAACATGGGAGCAATTTACTAGAATGGTCGATGAGAGCCTTGCAGAAGTATCCGACAATACAGTCTGGGGGCCGATATTTGGAACTGGAATTCGATCGCTCGGTCCGAGTCCGCCGACCGCAAGCCCGAAAGATGATAACTATACCTGGGGCGTTGGCGAAGAAGCAGATATGATAGCCTTTCTTCCAATTTTCAACCCGAAAGACACAGCGTGGACATTCCCGGATATCATTTGGAACTTCAGGTATGGCATCGACACTCCACGCCGCGCAGCAGTTATTACGATGGGCCGGTATTCGAAGCGTCTACTGGATTTGATCCACAATGCGCAAGCGACAAAAGGGCTGGGCCTTGCATCGGAAATGACCGGTGCGTCGTGGGCTATGTATCATGGTCTGAAAGCAGTCCACGTTCCACATCCAATCTATGCGGACGGCCAATGGACATCTGAAGAGCTCGCACGCATCTACAATCGAGGGGTGCCGGAAAGTATAAATGGCGGTCCAGATAGTATTTGGAACTTTGATCACCTATATGATCACATCATGTACCGACTTTCGTACATGTTCACCACTCATACTGCGGAGGACATGTATAGACGGTGGATGGGATTTCGAACCGCTGCTAATGAAGGTGGAAAGAGGGTATGTCCCATATTCCTTTCCTAATTTATTTGACGTTCACATGAGGGACCCATTTACTCCTGGGAATCGCGCTAACTTCTGTCCTGCAGTCAGCAGAGGTTCGCTATGGTCGGCATTGCTTTCCATCTATGTTTCTCCACACCGTGAAGAACACGGCCAGGAGGTTTGGGCCGGACAGGGCTGTACCATGAGACCAGACCCAGAATGTCTCATTTAGTTTCTTTTGTACCTTTTCAAGTCTTAATCGCTTTGTTTCATTTTTCTTAATTGTGCTTATGACGGGGAGCGGATAGTTTTAGGTGTTACCTGCAGCTTTCGTTTCGTGCGTTGGTAGTGATTAGATCTGAACTTCAGAAATACTTGAATATCATATATCTGAAGATTCGGGCTGGGTGTATGATGAACGCATTCATGACTAAAGTCAGACATCGCCGCCATCATAAACTTGAATCTATTATGTCGAGCAATATCTTGTTTCGTCTGCCATGGATGCCGTCATCGGCTGCATCGGTCCCCAGTGGCCACGGACGGGGTTGATACGAATCAGGTGAAAAGGTGTGATTGGGTTATGCCTAAATATCCTGGCTCCTTCAAATAGAGAATTTCCCCAGGCCATGTGCTCATCAAATCAGCCACAGCCCCTCCAACCCCGCAAAATCCCCTTATCGACCGGGCCAATATTAGTAGATGTTGGCCGGGGTAAATTTCCCGTTTTTGCGAGGGTAACTTTCCCCGTCCCTCAAAGACCCACCCTGGCCACAAAGAGGTCATAGGGTGAAAGACACGATCGGCCATTGGCAGCTTAATCTGGTACACCCTGCGGAAGATGATCTGGTTTCTCAAGCCCCTACCAGGAAATTGTCGTCGAGGAACGCGGGTTGTATTTCCAGGCCAGGTGGCATGCAGCCCCTCCACACCTGGTTGACCCGTAGGGAAGGCATCTGGATATAGTTTGAAAAGCTGGGCCCAAATCTCAAAATGATACTTATATCGCCATTCACCTGGGCAGCTGGTTTGATTTCCAAGTCAGACTCGGAGCCTTCACCTTCCTTTTCTGGTTTCTTTACAATCCTGCTCAGACCTTTGGTTTTAAGACTATCTTTGCCAAGGACTCTCTTGTTCGACATGGCCTCTTTGGCAGCAAACCTGAGCCAATCCGGCACTATGTGGTCCGTTATCTCAGTGGCTCCATATGCAATTGGCCTTAGCTTCTTTGCACTCGCATACTTTGTCATTCTACCGTATATCGAATATCTCCGCGATCCAAAGGGTATGGTACCAAACCAAGTATGAGAGAAATGCTGTAGGAGATTACTAACGGCAAGTAGGATTGCGCAAATACCCCAACCTCTCTCCCTTCTCTGGATTTTCAGCGATTCCTTTTATGCTCATGGCTGGAAGAGGCTTCCGATCAAGGGAGCTAGCAGAGCTACACAAGACGCACCCGGTTATTAGAACGGCCCCCAATGCGCTCTCCTATGGAGACGCTCGAGCCATCAAAGACATCTATGGACACAACACAAAGTGCACCAAGGACGGCGCATACTCCGTCCCTGTCGGAAGTCATTACAATTTGGCGGATGTTGTCGATAAGCCTGATCATGCCCGCAAGCGCAAGGTTCTCTCATCAGCCTACGCCTTGAAGAACCTAGAGAGCTGGGAATACAAGGTTACCGATAAGGTCCAAAGAATGTTCAAGCATTTCGACAATGTCTGCACTCTGGCTCCTAAAGAGGATGTGGCATCTGGTAAGGTAGCACCTGACCAGAAAGAACTGACTCTGGACCTACGTGGCTGGAACAACTTCTTCACTCTGGATGCCATTGCCGATATTGGACTTTCCGAGAAACTGGGATTCCTTGATGCCGGTAACGATATGGTCATTGCGGAGCGAAAGGACGGCTCGACATACCAGACTAGCCTTCGTGAAGCACTTTATCCCACTGCCCGGAAGCAATCCTACCTTCTGTGGGATTACAACTGGTACCTGACTATCAACAAGTTGGTGGATGTGATCCCATTCTTTAAGCGCATGTCGAAGTCGGCCGATGACTGGGAAAACATCATGTGGCACCGAGGAAGCAAGCGTCTAGAACGCTACGAGAATGGCGAAAAGCTCGATGACTTCTTCCAGGCACTGATGGAGGATAAGAATGGCAATGCCAACAATCTCGAGTGGGGTGAAGTTGTTGCTGAGTGCAACATTATGATGAACGCTGGCAGTGTTACCACCGCTGTTGCTATTACGAACGTCATGTACCAGCTACTACGCAACCCCAAAGCTCTTATGAAGTTGCGAGAAGAGCTTGATTCTGTCTTGGATGAGGATGAGGTGGTCGCAGATTATGACAAGGTAAAACACTTGCCGTATCTGCGTGCTTGCCTGGATGAATCTCTTCGCATCTTCCCTCCCACTTCCCACGGACTGCCTCGTGAGACTCCCTCCGAAGGCGCCAACATTCTCGGAGACTGGGTGGCTGGAAGCACCACTGTGAGCATGTCTGCTTTTGTTGCTCATCGCCTTGAAAGTATCTTCCCCAACGCCGACCAGTACATTCCAGAGAGGTGGCTGGGAGAAGAAGGAAAGTCCCTTCAGCCATATCTCATTGCTTTCTCTGCTGGCGCTCGTTCCTGCATTGGTCGAAACATTTCTTACCTGGAACAAGCAAAGGCTGTGGCATCCATGGTGCATCGATATGACTTTGCCCTGGCCTACCCCGGATGGGAACTGCAGCGCGAGGAGACAATGAATCTGATTCTGGGAGATATGCCCGTGAAAATTTGGCGCCGGGACAGGGGTGCAGAGGCATAGATACAATGCTGGCAACTTCCCTTTATTCTCTATTATGATTACCCCCTTTTTTTATTATATACTAGCATTTTGATGATCACTCGATGAGACGATACCTTAAAGAACCCCGAATAGACCTTTCTCGATGAACAGTCGGGAATTTGACTAGAAGTTTGAATTTACATTTTTGCTCCGTCTGAATAAGCTTCCATAGTAATCGTCCATGTAGTCCTAAATCGCAAGAACACGCCAAATCCCATTTTGAGCTATGGCCAAGGGTCGCGGTCGCGTAGAGCTTGCATGCTGCATGTCTCGCAGATCAGGCGCGTGATAGTTAGCACGCGTTGGGGTAAGGTTGAGTCTCAGATTTGCATGACATAGGATTCTAGCCAACTTCAGATCATCAAACTTCAAAGTGATACCCCGCGACCCCGCCACCTCGAAAGTCTCGATTATCACAGGGTGATTTTCCCCGCGCGGGGCCTTTGGCCAGGGGACTTCCCTCTCTCTCGTTCGGGGAAATTGCCCCGACCATCTTCTTCGGCTGTTGTAGGCGATCTATTTTTCGCCTGCATTATGACAACAACTTCTTGAGTAGGGATGTAGAAGATCTCGAAAATTCATTTGTCGGCGTTCAAACGTTATCCAGCCAACCTGGCAGGGTATGACAGCCTGGCCTTGCAGGATCGCGTCCATCCCTCGTACCCATAGTATTGTTGACTACCAAACCATTACGGTTGATGAATAAATTAACCGCCACAAAAGTAAAGTCCTGATGTCTCATAACTTCATTTGTTTATCTACGGAATATGGTTTCTGCATTATCTGCGGTCTTTGGATCTCCGGGGCTGAAGAGGGTGGAGACTAAGGGTGGCATAAGGCGAAGTTCTTGCTTCTTCGCTTTGCCTGTTTGGACACTTCGGGGGATATTTTCCTATGGATGCAAGCTCCCACAAAGTGTCGACTTGTGCACCTTAATTCCTCGATCCAATCAGTGAGTGGGTGTGATGAATACCCGCAAGTCAATGACCGGCGATGCCCTCGCCATGCTGGGTAATTTTCCCCGCAGGGACGTGGGGAACTTGGAGCTTATGCAGATCTCAAGCCTATTTTTCGCCCCAATATCAACTCTGATCGGGATTTCTTTCTCAATTTCGGGGTACTGGGCTATGCGGGGTGAAACGCCAGCTGCCCGTGGATTTGATATTTGAACGCGAGAAAGACCCCGGACTCTCTTTGCTTGTTATTGACTGATTTCCACTCACAAGGCATTTTCATCTCTTCAAGTTCGTCGCCTTAAAGATTTGCCATACATACATAACTGCGTTAATCCGTTTTTGCCCAGAGAACTGATATCTCTGTACTATCACTGGCATTACACCATGGCATCACTCTCGCAATTAGCGTCGCAGTGGAATATTCCACCGGAGTTGCTCGATGAGCTCTCCAAGTATGCAACACCAACCGGGCTCGCTGATTATGCGGCATTGGCCGTCATTGCTGGTATATCGGGCGCCTATATCTCTCGTGGATACCTCTGGGATCAGCCTGACCCGTATGCCTACCTGGCATATGAGAGGCCGCAATTGAAGAATGGCGGCCAGTCTGGCGCCAATGCTAACAAGGAAACCCGGAACATTGCGCAAAAGCTAGAGGAGTCTGGGAAAGATATCGTTGTTTTCTGGGGATCGCAATCTGGTACAGCTGAAGGGTTTGCCCATCGTCTGGCCAGGGAAATATCTGTTCGATGGGGCCAGGAAAGCATGACTGCAGACCTCTCTGATTACGACCCAATCACCATCAAAGAAATTCCCAACACTAAGCTCGCTATTTTCATTGTTTCTACCTACGGCGAGGGTGATCCTAGCGACAACACGGTCGACTTTTGGAGCTGGATCAACAAGGCCAACGATGTCTCCCTCCCCTCTCTACGATATGCCGCATTTGGACTGGGAAATACCAACTACAAGTTCTACAACAAAGTCGTCGATGTTATTGTGGAGGGATTGGAAAAGTTTGGTGCCCAGGCATTGATGCCAGTTGGAAAGGCAAATGATGCAGATGGCGCGACTGAAGAAGATTTCATGTCTTGGAAAGATCAATTATTCTCAGTCTTTAAGGAGCAGCTGGGCTTCCAAGAAATCGAAGCCAAGTACACCCCAAGCTTGTTGATCCAAGAAGACGAGTCCTTGGAACCTATCGACTTGCACCATGGAGAGCCTCATGGCCAGGCCGATGGAAAAGCAAACCAATCCTCGGCGGTTCGCACGCTGAGCATCTCGAATTCGCGGGAGCTTTTTACCTCATCTGACCGTCACTGTCTACACATGGATCTTGACTTGACCAACCAGCCAGAACTTACCTATAAGACTGGTGATCATCTGGCTATTTGGCCGGGGAATCCTGACTCCGAAGTCGAGCTTCTTCTCCAGGTTCTTGGTACTTACGAACGACGCGACATACCTCTCCACATCAAGGCCATTGACTCGGCCACTAAGGTCACCATCCCATCACCCACAAGCCCAAACGCGCTGTTCCGCTACTACCTCGAGATTTGCGCTCCGGTAAATCGTGACAATGTTCGTGATCTTGCACAATTCGCACCAACCGCGGAGGCAAAAGCCTACCTTAGCCAACTCGGCCAAGACAAGGACAACTACGCCAGTTTCATCAACCGCACCCACCTAAACCTCGGTCGCCTCCTGCAACTTGCATGCCCAGGCCAGACGTGGTCTGATATCCCACTCTCATACCTGGCCGAAACTCTGCCTCATATCCGCCCTCGCTACTACTCTATCTCATCAAGCAGCGTGGTCTCCCCACGCAAGCCATCCATCACCGCAATCGCCACTACGACTCCTCTCCCTGACAACTCGAGCGAACTTGTCCATGGTGTCACATCCAATTACCTCTTAGCTATCTCTCAACAGGCTCAATCTCAACCGCACCCTTACGGAGTTACCTACCACCTCAATGGCCCTAGTAACGCTTTAGAGGGCGGAAAGGTCTTCGCTCACATTCGTCGAAGCAAGTTCAAGCTGCCTATAACCGGAAAGACGCCGCTGGTCATGGTCGGGGCCGGAACAGGCCTTGCTCCTTTCCGCGCATTCCTTTCGGAAAGATGCCAGGTCCAAAAGGTTGGAAAGGAAGTTGGCCAAATGATTCTTTTCTTCGGATGTCGCAACCCGAACGAAGACTTCATCTATCAACAGGAATTGGAGGAAATGCAAAAGGTCCTTGGCGATAAATTGCATGTCGTGACGGCATTCTCGAGACAAGAAGGTACTCCACGCAAATATGTGCAAGATCGAGTTTCGGAGTTCGGTGATGATGTCGTCAAGCTCATTGATGAGGGTGGCAGTTTCTATGTTTGTGGGCGCGCAGGAATGGCCCGCGAAGTTGAAAAGGCTGTTGGGGAAACCATGAGGAGGGCCAAGGGATGGTCTGAAGATGAGGTGAACAACTGGAGCAAGGCAGTTAAGAAGAAGAATAAGTGGCAAGAAGATGTCTGGGGTTAGGGTTTTTCATGCTCGTGTTCCTCGTTTGCTAGGATTTTTTCAAAGGCGCATTGGCTTGACTGTGATATCTATAGTTCTATATTTGATTTGACGGCTAGGCATTTAAGTTAGACATCAATTACACTGATTTTGAAAGATATTTTAAAATGACACAAGAGATTCGAAGTAATATTCCTGCGGGACTTAAAAGGCCGTCGCTTCCGGCAAGATCTGGCACCTGTCATCTCGCTACCAATGCCTATTCTACGTTTCGTGTTCACAGTGTCTTGTTTTCCGATTGGTCGAATAAAGAAATCGATCTAGTTATGCTATCATGATGTCATATCTCAATGTTAAATCTATTGCTTATCAACAGTCGGGTAGTCCGTGTAGTGGAAGACATTGTCTTCAAACGGCCCGTAGAAGCGAGTGCGATCATAAGGCGTCAAAGGCAGCCCCTTGGCCAGACGGTGCACCAGATCTGGGTTACTGATAAAGTAACGACCGTAAAGAAGTCCGTCATACTTTCCGGATTCCACAACACCCCACGAGTTGGTATCATCGAAGCCTCCAGCGGAGAAGAAAGGGGTGGAGCCAAAGATCTTGCGGAACCGATCGAGAGTCACATCCTTCAGTCCCCAGCCCTGGAGGAAGGTGTCCTTCTCTTCTTCGCTGAAGATTTGCTCGAAGCGCTGAATAGAAATGTTAGCCCTTTGAAAATGTACTAAAGGATGCAGAGAGATATACCGGCTCAACGAAGCTCACGTAAGAAAGGGTAGGGTGATCCTTCTTCAGACCCTCGCAAAGGTGCGTCCAGGTTTCGAGACGTTGCTCTCCACGTGCCTGGTTGAACAGACCGAAAGGCGAAAGGCGAATTGCCAAGTTCTGCTCGCCAATGGTCTTCGCAACCTCGGCCATCAACTCGAAGACAAATTGGCAACGCTTCTCAGGAGAACCACCATAGTCATCGGTCCGCTTGTTGACATTCGAACTAAGGAATTGCTCAGGCAAGTATCCATTTCCACCATGGATCTCCACGCCATCAAAGCCAATTTCCATAGCTGTCTTGGCCGCTTTGCAATAGTCTTGAATGGTCTGCTTGATATGCGCCACGGACATTTCAATAGGCGGATGATTGGCGTATGGGACGGGCTCAGTGGATCCCACGGGAGGATGGGAAAAGCATTCCGTCGGAGAGTCCCACACGCTGGCTGAGGGGCAGACGGCGGGTGATCCGGTCATCTGGGGAATTGTCGCACGGCCAGCGTGCCACAATTGACAGAAAATGAAGCCCCCCCTTTGCGTGCACGGCTTGAACGACTTTCTTCCAGCCATTGGCCTGTTCGGGAGTGAAAAGCCCAGGCACACCAGGCATGCCATTGCTCTGTTTTTAATTTGCCGAGGGTCAGACTCCACATGAAATAGTCAATTGAGCCATGGGTACGAGCTCGTAAGGTAGGATAGGGCCCGGGACGGGAATAGGTACCTCGAGTGAAGGTGGAATTCCCTCAGAGATGAGAAGACCACCCTCAGTGGCACGCTGGCTATAGTAATCGGCAATGAGGTCGCCAGGAACCCAGATACGATTAGGATTCTCGGGAGTACTGATAGGGTTCAAAGGCACCCCGCGGTTACGGGTCAGAGGCGCATGGATGATACGGTGGCGGAGAGTGAGGGCACCATTGGAAATATCCAAAGGCCGGAAGAGGTCGGATTCTTCGCCGCTGATGTAGTGGATAGTCATAGTTCAGGCAAAGGAGCAATAGGATTATGTTTATGCAAACTTGAAACTTGAAGAATTGAGAAAAGAATTCAAACATTCAGGTTACATGACGAGTCCTCATCTCCCCCCTATTTTTTTGTTGCCTTGGCCTGTCAAAACTGTCAACTCGGCTAACCCGGAATTAGGGTTTATGTGAAATCCACTCATGCCACTTGGTAAAACAACGGTGGCAATGAACGTGGGAATGAGACTTTGTTGGCGTGCAAAAACTGCAAATACGAGGCTAGGTACCCGCAGCACTTTACTATAATTGGAGAGTGGAGCTTCTGCAGTGGATGCTTTTTCATTTCGCGGAACTCGCGAAGAACTATTCATCGGGCCCCGGCCACGTAATAGTTTCCGATATCAGGCCTGATCCAAACTATATCGCTTCAGTGGTCAATCAGGGACTATTGGAGACAAGTATTCAATAGCGCTTGACCCCACTCTGATATAACTTGCGCCTATCTTTATACTAATTTTTCAGCCGGAGGGCGCCTAGCGCTTTTGTGGTCCAGCGGAGATCTGCCTGTCAGGACCTTTATGTGCCACTGACACCCCCGGCTTTCCTCGCATGATCGATTTCCATGTTATCAGTTGAGTGACAGCTTCAAAAAAAAGAATGGCCACCGGGAACACCTTGGGGCCCACCCCAAAGGACGTGTATCGCACGCTCAATCTGGTGGTGCAATGTCTGTGCATTCCGATTGTATCAGCGGCTGTCGCCTTGCGATTTTACACTCGTTTTCGATTCAAGCAGCGCCTCGGAGTTGAAGACTGTGAGTTTCACGGCAAACCCCTTTACTCCTCGACTATTTACTAACATGAAAACATAGATGCATGCACTGTAGCTTGGGTACGATTCATATGACTGACTACTATTCACCTCAACGATAATCAATTACTGACTAGATTCCCAGGGCCTGTTCATGGCATATTGCGCAATTGGTATCCTCAGTAAGTCTTTTTGATACTCGGATGGATTTATTATTGCCGAATACTGCAGAATACTGATGATCTTCCTTTTATTTACATAGTTGGTCGCCATGGAGGAGGTTATCACGCCGACGAAGTCCTGGCTTGGGACCCCGCGGAGATCATTCAATTCAAGAAGTTCTGCTACATCGCCACCCTTCTTTACTGCCCCATGGCACTATTCGTCAAAATCGCCCTACTCTCGATCCTTACTCGCATCTTCGCTCCCCTATCGAAACAAGGTCTTCTTCATCTACGGCCTTCTCGGCGCACTCTGCATCTACTACACCGTCGCCCTGATCATCAAAATCCGCATCTGTTACCCCATTCCATATTACTGGCTGGGAGATGAGCTCGAGGGTGGTGGGACTTGTCTTGACCAGACGGCCGCCCTGATCGCCGACTCCGTTATCAGTGTCGTTAGCGATATCATTATTCTCATCCTACCCTTGCCGTTGACCTGGTCACTCCAAATGTCTCAGGAACAAGAAGCTACGTGTTATGGGTCTGCTCGGAGCCGGTGGTTTCGCTGTAGGCTTTAGTCTGTATCGACTCGTGTTGGTGCTCCAAGATGGTACATCACCCGATCAGACGATCGTCTTCATGTGTGTCATTATGTCTGGGTATGTGTCCATCTCCCCCTTTCCAATCCGAAATTGCCTTTTCTGACTTATCTTTAGAAATGCCGAGGGTGGTGTCGGTCTAATCTGCGCTTGTCTCCCCGTTCTGAACGTCTTGCTCGCTCATTACCGGAAGAACTACTCGTCCCAAAAGTACTACAACCAGAGCTCCGAGATTCAACTCGGAGACCGCAAGACAGGGTCCACATCTAAGAATGCGTCGCAATGGGACAAGGCAACGAACTTCGGTGATCAAAGTCACCTTATTTCCTTTGCTGGAGCCCCTGAGGCAGCGGACTCTCTGTATAATGAGAATGGTATCCGCAAGACAGTTGCGGTAGAACAAACTGTCGAGAGCCGAGATAGTGATAGCCGCTGACCAAGTTAGACGCCGGACATGACCGCATGAAGATGTATATCTTATTATTGGAATTCCATATTTAATCATTCAAATCATCATTCATTTCTTTTTGTGAAAATATCCTGGGTATTTGTGTGGGCGGGAAACGTTATCGCAAGGAAGGATTCGGATCGAATAGACCCGAGTTGTGCCACAGACCATCGAGGCCAGCGTCAAACCCTGCGGCCCATGATGCATCAATGAAGGGCCATTGGAACATGTCCGTCTCGAAATCAGGATGCCCTGCTAATACAGTGCCATCTCTGTTAAAAAGCGAGTTATCGCCTTCAAAACTGGGCGACGATGCTGCCCGGTGTATATTATGTGAGCTTTGGGTGCTTCCAGGCTCGGTACTCATTGCCCTTGGACGAGCACGAATGTCACCATATTCATCAAGTGTTCCTGCTAAAGCAAACCTCCTAGGGCTATGCATGCCGGACTCGGGGTGTGTCTGAGAGTTCTTCACTGTTTCGTAAAACCGGTTTGCTTCTTGTACAGTTCGCCACTTTGCTCCTAGTTAGTGTGATGACTGCTAGGTGAATTTGAATTTGACTCACCCAGCTCCGACCGACTGGCCATAGTTTACTGAGTCGCTCGAGATAGGCGAGATTCTGACCTTTCTCTTCCTCTGCTCGCTCGACTCCTCCAGGATAGCGTGCCGGAGCGATAGTACCGTACATATTGATGTGCACCGCGACAAATACGCTGAACCCGGAGTAGGGGGTCATAACTGCCGCTTCTGAATTCTCAAGTGCCGATAGTACCCCTCCAATGTTCTGCGCAGCTTCAAATAATTGCTTGATCGTGTAAGGCTCATATTGGTCATCGTGGTTCATGTCGTGAAAAACGTCAGAGTGCGGTTTGAGATTTGAGAGAAAGCGATCGCGGTGCAAAAATAAAATACTTGAACAGGTGTCAATGTTGTTTCGGAGCCATTTGTGGGCGAGAAAAAACTTACCTCATGAAGTAGAGTAGGTTTATGTAGGCAAACAGCTCCCCGTACCCGAGGGAAACATGTGCTTGGGTGGCTGTGTCTGGGTAACGGACTGTCCTATCCTGGAGTGACCTCCATTCGTCCAGCTCTTCTTTGAGTCGTTGCCAATCCCGATGAAGTGGCGAAGCTTCGGAATCGTCTGAAGTTAGAGAAGCAAGGGCACGGCGATGTTCATTCGCAAATCTCAAGATCCGCACAAATATGTCGAAGCCACGAGTAACGATCGTCAGACCGTGCTCAATTGTTAGGTTTCTTGCAAGACTGCATTGCTTGTTCATATCGGCCGGCATCAGCCTCCTTTCTGGTACCTGGTTGAAGGTGAAATCTCGGTCGCTGATCGGAAGCGGGACTGAGATGTGAGAAAATGATAGAGCAAAATGCTGCCGAGCTCCGGAGCTCAGTTCGCAATCTTGCGCAAAACAAACCCAGTAAGTGCGGACGAGCTGTTCGTATTGGGTTTGGGAAGCATGGAAATCTTGGGGATTATGCTCCATGCTGTCGTCGGCCATTTTAAGAAGTGATTGAATCATGTAGGTGGCCATGCCTGACAGTGTCAAATGTCAGAATATCCCATGAATCATAGAAGGCTTCAGATGAACTCACCGCTGTACATCCAAGCCTGGTATGGGCGCCCAGTCCCCCATTCATAAAACGAAATTATTACTAGTGATTGAGCGAGATATAATGAAGGAGCCTCGAGGACACGGTGCGCAAGATTTCTCCGGGCATAATCAGCGTAGATCTCTTCATCCCCAAGCGCATCCCCAGCCATAAAACGCCTGCACAGAGATAAAAGGGAGGCAATGAATATCGGCTCTATGGATTCGAAATTGGAGGAAATGTCGGAAATTAATGATGGGTAGTGCAGGAAATTCGCGACCGGGAATTTCTTTCGATATGTTTCGACGGCACTGATCACAGTGGCTTGCGATAAGGCTGAGATCGGATTCTCTTGGCTGTCAACGAGATTACCAGGGGTCATCCTGCTGATGCTGTGATCGCCCTCAAGCGTTGGAGACAGGTCGGAGGTAGCCTTTCGCTTCCGCGAAGCCAGGGATTTCGCGTTCCCTTTTGGCTTGTCTGGCCTTGAAACGCGGGGATCTGTCAGGGCGCATCCCTGGGCCTTGAGTCGTTGGCAGCGCCCACAAGGAGGGCTGCCATCATGAACACATTTCACTTTGGCTCGGCTAGTTCAAATTAGCAAATGTACGAGATATAGACATAGTGAGACTCGGGGATATTTACCGACAACCATCACAAGATATAGATAACCTCATTGGGTGGGTGGATGTCGATGATGATCAAGCAAGGCTGCAATGGCAGACATGCAAATTTTCTTGCAGATTCCGACAATTCATAGGAGCGGGTATGATCGGACTAAATTAATGCTGCCAGTTAGGGAACTTCGAATCTTGGAGCCTGCAATGGAAGAGAGGAGGAAGGTAGGATTCCAGAGCCAAAAGCTAAACCGTCGATCTCGACGGTCATGTGATTTTGATCTATAAAGTTCTTATCTACTACTTGTGTAGGAAGACTAGGATTGCCAGGCAAATATGATACTTTCATAGCAAAAGGCCGTCTCTCATTAAATTCTATTAAATATGCAATAATTATGCAATGATATATGAAGACCAAGTTCTAAGTGGCGAATTCCTTAGTCGCCGCCGTCCACTGTCTCACCCACGCATTGAACTTGTCGACCTGCAACTCGTCCGTAGCCCAAGATGTCACGATTCTCACGACAACTTGTCCATCATCTAACTGATCCCAGATGTAGAATCGGAATCTATCCTGGAGCCTCTGAGCCAACTGCTGCGGCATGGTTATGAAGACCTGATTTGTCTCTGTTTCCGCCGCCAGCTGGTATCCTAGCTCTTCAAAATTGGCGGAGATCTTCTCGGCCATGGTATTGGCATGTGTAGCCAGCGTGAAAAAAAAGATCGTTTTTGAACAATTCCATAAACTGAACACCCATAATCCGTCCCTTCGCTAAGAGTGCACCGTGCTGTTTGAGGTGGAACACAAATCCCTCGGCGATGGCCTTCTTGACGACAATCGCCTCTCCCATGAGAGCACCAGCTTTGGTACCACCGATCCAGAAAATATCGGCGAACTCGAAGATATCTCGTAGAGTCATGTCGTTTTTCTTTGAGCACATGGCTGTTCCGATCCGAGCACCGTCCACCAGAAGTAGGAGGTTCATCTTTTTGCACAAAGCAGATAGACTGCTTAACTCGCGCTTAGTGTAAACCGTACCGGTCTCCGAAGCATTGGAAATATAAAGCAGTCGAGGCTTAGCCATGTGAGGGAAGAATTGATTCTGTTGCAAAGCCTTTTGCAAATTTGTCGTCGTCATTTTGCCGTCAACGGCCGGGACGAGGATAAGCTTGTGACCGGTGGCTTCAATTGCACCAGCTTCCTTGCAGGCAATATGGCCCGAGTCCAAGGTAATGACAGCCTCATACGGTCGTAAACAGCTAGCGATTGAAATCAGATTCGCTGATGTTCCGCTGGGCACGAAAAAAATATCTGCCTCATCTTCGCCACAGTCGATTCGCTCCCGAATCATTCGCCTCGCCGCATCTGAATATTCATCGTTCCCGTAAGAGACTTGCTGGGTAGAATTTGTGAGGAGAAGAGCCTCAAGAATTTGTGGGTGGGCTCCTTCGCTGTAATCGTCCATGAGACTGTATGGAGGACATGTCTCGTCTTGGCAGAGACTGGTTGACGGCATATTCACAAGTCACTCTAATGGGTTTGATTGGACGAAGAAGAGTGTAGAGTTGTCGAGTACAGTAGAAGGGAAAAATACTGAGATAATATGTCCGACTCAAAGCTTGTGTGGCGCTTCGAGTCCAGACTAAATAAAGCAGTCAAAGTGGTCGGGAAAGCAGAAGCAGTGGGAAAGAATCTCGGGAATAGCGGACCCGCGATTGTTAATAGAAACCTTGCATTTCCCATTTAGGCTTGGTCCGGTAATCGTATTACTAATCTGTAATCAAATTAAGGGTATCTCTGAGCCCGATGTGTCAGCAAATACGTAAGAAAGATACCGCACCATGCCTATATTGGCAGCAACAGACCCACAAGCCGAAACTGAGCCCGGGAATACTGCCTATTCCCGAGCAAAGCCCTTGCTTGATCCACAGACCAGGTTCTTTTCATGTAATGCGTGGGCCGGAACATTGGAGAACGCATTCTTGTTGAGAATCAAGAACTGTTTTCGTTGATCACTGATCACGCGCCTCCATCAAGGGGAGACAGCTAAAGTTGAGTTAGTATGTAGACTCGTGGAACGCTGAAACCTTTCGGAACTCCGGCGGTCATCTCCTAATGTTTCACATAAAATCCGCGTCCCGGAAAAGCATATTTGCACAAGACTCGACATTGATAATGCAAACGCGGGGATATCGTCAATTTGGAGATCAGCCGCCGTCGCTTTCCAGCGGCTTGTGGGGATGTTGGACCGTTGGGCTGGCCTGTTAGATATGATCAGTTAAACTAGTAGTAAGGAAACTCTGGAATGACCTGTCATTTACTGCAAAGATAGCAATTCAATAATGAGAAAGATCGAATGATCTTGGATATCAACTAACCTAGGGCTATATATGACTATTTACAAATGAAAGCACGCCTTACCAGGGTAAAACACTAATGTACAACAAACTCCCGCAGACAATGCAAGACTGGAATCCGAAGAGTTCCAAGCCAACGGAGAATCAATCGTCTTCTGACCGACGCAGGCGGGTTTCTTCCTCAGGTAGCCCTTCTTCCAATCTAACTTGCTGATAGAACCGGACCCGCCAGCCGCGAATCAGCATGAAGGCTCCCATGACGGTGGCCATCATAGCGAGGAGGAGAACGAGTGCGAATAGACCGCCAATGTTGCGGACGGCCGACTGGGCTTTTGAGAGCATCTGCGTCGCCTTGATAACCTCTGCCTTTGCGGTTCCATCTGATGATGGCACCGGGCCATTGTCAATGGCCTTCTCATCCGCAACGCCACCTCCGCTCGGGTAAAGCACGCCGGGATCTTGTGGTTTGGGAAGCTCTCCGCTAAAACCCATCCAACCAACAGCGTCCCAGTCAGGGAAATCAGTTCGGTGGACGGTCGAAGAGCCGAGGACCTCACCGTTGCGATCAATGGCCTCGGCGGTGATCCAGTCCAGGTAGCCACGGGCGATAAACATGGTTTCAAAGTCAAGTTTCGTGACGTTGCCAATGAAAACGGGGTTGTCGAATTGAGACTTGCGTGCGTAGAAGCTCCATGTAGCCACTTCCGTTGCTCCGTTCCAGCTTACCCAGATTGAAGTTATCAGGTTAGTCTCATCTGTGCCATAAACGGAGGCCACCATATCCGGGGGAAGGGTCGGGCGGCCGACGAATTCATTTTTATAGGCGCGATAGTTCGAAAAGCGTGGGGATGTGAAGCGGGCAGACATAACCAGCTCACCATCCTCAGTAAATTCTGAGATATAACCGCCTTTACTCCAGCAAGCGAACATGTTTTTGTTCGGGAGAACTTGAGCGTTTCCTCGGAGCCGGGTAAGATCTTCGTCCGGTCGTTTGTAGCGCCGCACGGCCCTCGCTGTCATGGGAGTAGTACCGGTTTCGATTTCGATTATCAAAGCAGATGAGACGCTCTCCTCGTTAAACTCCTCATCGGATGCATTGTTGAGCAGTGAGATGATATGGTGAGTTCCTTCCGAATGGAGGAACTTGGCGTCATGTTGCTTCGAGAAAATGAAATCTTGGTCGAATTCGCTATTACGTTGACCATTTAATCGCCACATAATGCGCCCGTCGGCTCCAGATACCAGATAGAGGGTGTTGGTGAATCGCATGGAGAGTAAATAGTCACCGGCGCTATTTTTGTCGACTGAATTTATGTGCACGTAGTCCCAGCCAGGATCTCCTTCCACGGGAGACCACTGAGAGTAGTGAATGGTCTCGACCAGCGGGACCTGATTGTATGATTTCCACTCGTGGAGAACCTGGGCAGTAGTGAGGTCCAGCTCAGCGAAGCCGCCTACCTCTAGTTGTGTTTTTTCATCGGAACGATTGAACTCCGCCAGGGAGATTTCTTGCGTCGTATAGGTGGTGACAACGGCTGTCTCGCCAGTGTCGAGGACATTGAATTCGTGGATATCGAACAATCCGAGATCGCTTCGCAGTGCAACCTTTCGGATGATCTCGAAGTTGGAATTCATAACCAACCCGTAGCCTCGGTGTTCGTCATCGAAGGGGAATTGCTGAATCATGGAGATGTGAGTTTCATTGCCGAAGCTGTTGATACCTCTGAAGTCGAAGACATTGTGGTTATCGAACATTAGGGAACCGGTCCACACAAGACGCTAGAGTAGAGACCAGGATTAGCATTAGCGCGTGTTGGCATTGAAGGGTATGGATCTGGATCGGGATCGGGATCGGGATCAGGGCGACCCGAGGGACGATGAACATACCCCCTCCTGGTCGTAGATATGCGGGCCGATCTGGAAGGGCTCGAAGACACTGGTCGGGCCATCCGGGGCAATGTGCAAATAGGGCGACACGAACCAATACCCGGGGGCAGCACGGTCGCGATCAAGGTGTTCGATATCGAATTTGACCGCCCTGACATCCGGTAGCTAGGAGGATGACGCGATCTTAGCATGGGGTCGTCTCATCGTGGGATGCGCACCACTCACGGTTTTGAATGTCATCAAGTCATCATCCGTGTGTTCCCAGGCAGCAGCTGCATTGTGCAAGCACAGTAGCAGCAGGCCCAACCAGAGCATGATGACGGCTGGGGTAAGAAGAAAGAGGGAGAAAAAGAGCGACAGGATTAGAAAAGAGTGGCCATGGAATAGAAAGAAGGAGAGGGAGAGATTGAAGGTATCCGCCACGGGGAGATCCTGGGAAGGCTAAGGCTCAGGCTCAGCACAGGCACCGGCACAGGCACAGTACTCGACCAACGGGGGCGAGAAGGGCCGACCTAGCCCCGTTTCAATAACAAATTCAGTGATGAGACTGGCCTTGGTGGGGCCAACAGGGGGTAGGCCAAGCCTTTTGGAGTGATGACGCGGGGCGGCAGACAGTGGACTCTGGTAGGTTGAGGCAGAGAGGCAGAGGGAGAGAGGCAGAGGGAGAGAGGCAGAGGCAGAGGCGGCAGACAGCAGACAGCATTGCCAATGCCAGTGGAGGAGGTTCTTGGCACTGGCATCTACGCGTGTACATATGGAGTACACCATTCCACCGATCTTCTTCAGCTTCCTTCGTACTCAGTACAGAGTGTACATGCAATGCTCTTCTGATCCACTAGCGGGGGTTTATCCCTAGCCCCATTCCGGCATTGCTTGTCAGCGGCCCCGTAAAACCTCAGATCGAGAGATGTTATGGCTACGAGTAGGGTAGTGCAATTCCATTATCGTATAGTTAACTGGTTATAGGTACGAAGTATGGATTTTCCATGCTTAGTGGAGCAACGTGGCGCAGCCCACACACCAACAACCAAACGAAATTAGGCGAACAACCTTGGACAGATGGTGATGACGCTCAGGGGCGGCGATCCTTTGGTGCTTCTCTCACGTGACCTGACGGAATCAACTACTAGGATTTTTTGGTTATATTCTATCCATGGTGCTTTCATGGACAGTCTACTGTGTTTATTGCCAGCCTCGCAAAATGATGCTTATCTGAAAAAAAACCCCCTGAGATCAAAAGCCTTGTGCGATGTAGAGCTCGACTAATCTAGCAGAACATGGGCCATGCCCTATGTTCCTTCAATATATCCATCCAACTGTACAAAGGCTCCTTGTCATACTTTTCCCATAAGCTGGTCATCACGCATCTGGCTGTCTGGAAAGGTGGGAGGCGGCAGTTTTGGTCGGACTTTTCGAGTAACTCCAAAATCGCATTTCGTTTGTCGTTCGTCATCGCTTCGCACCCTGCCATGAATACTGGCCAAATTGTACCAGGGCCAGTGTGATCAACCGTCGGTAGCTCAGCGTGTAAAGCTTGCAAGGAGCGGATCACAATGTCCACCTGACCTGACAAAATCCCCGGGTGGACCTTGCGGACTCTCCTATAGAATAATATTACCAGCCCTGCATTGAATGCCTGGAAAACATGGGCGTAGGCATCTGGGGGCTCAGCTAGAGAGCTAGACTGATCGCTGGGGCCGATGTAAGAGTGAATAACACTCTCAAGACGGTCGCTTCGCTCTTGAAGAAACCGCGATATCTTAGAGTCCATCTGCATGTCGGCATTTTGAGCAGCCTTAACCTTCTCCAGTACGTTCGCTAAGCGTGTTGTTTGCGAGACCAGACTCAGCCACGTCTCTGAAATTCCATACACCTGTTTGGCAAGTGTTGCTGCAGACTTTCGAGAGTCATGAAGATGGATATCGGGGATATCTTTTCTGGAATCTTTTGGTGAGTCGATATCGAGATCATTGTCCGAATGTTCCATATGAAGAAAGTCATCATGGTGTGTAATTCGATCACTTGCAGATTGTGAGGGCCTTTTCATATTCTCAGGGCGACATGTCTGGATTTGATAATTAAGGGCATCAATAAATTGTTTTGAAGCTGTGAAGTCTTGGAGGACGTATGTGCTTTCACCGACAATTCGCAGCCATGTATAGACATTCACTAGGAGGCGGCTTTTATGTGAAGTTCTTGGCTTGTAAATTCCTCGGCGACGGAGGAGCCTTTCTGCTTCAAGAATAAAGTATCGCGCATCTTGTTGTTGACC